CTCTCAAAATACTTTCAAGAGGAGATGGATTGGTTAGTAAAACCATTCCTAAAAAACCAAAAACCGAAGCAATACTAAAGCTTTATCGGCCTAAAACGTTGAAACAACTTAGATCTTGCCAGGACAGCATAAATCAATTAGCGAATTTTAGTCCTTATGCAGCTGGCCTGACATAAAAATAGCAACCTGTGCTAAAAAAAACCAGAAAAAGAAGCCAAATGGTCAAAAGAGAATACACCAACTTTCGAAAAAAAAATCGAAGTTGCAGTTGCAAAGACCCCAACTACTGTGAATCTAAGCCTGAAGATAGAACCAAATTTGATGTCAGTCTTAGTGTGATTGGAGTTTCCTTAGACAACAAAACTAATGAAAAAGAATAAGGACTAATTTCATTCGCTTCAAGGTATCTAAACGCCCAAGAAAAAAATATTCTACAAAAGGGTTAGAATTTCTCGCTGCAGTTTGGGCAGTAAAAAAAAACAAACACTACTTTTCAGGCTCAAACTTCGTCTAAGCAACACATTATAAGGCACTCACATCTGCCCTGGATAGTAAAGGGTCAAATAAGACTTTTCAATCTAGATTAATCTGTGGGTTTTCCTACTATTGCCTTATCAAAAGAAATTAGTTGACTATCTTTTAAGAGAGCATGATGGACCCATGAACTAAATCGGAATTAGATGAGAACTTCGTAGTTACAGCCGTAGAATTGTTCCATTCAGCGCTCGTCGACTGCTTAAGCAGTAGGCTCAATGAGAAAATCCGCGCAACCCGAATGAAAAAAATTTGGAATCTTCTAAAGTTTGATGCCGAACAGGTAGCAAAACACGTCATCTCTCGGTTGCTATAGCATTAAAGATCTTCAAAACTGGACAAAACTTGACCACAAACCATGTTGGCGACCGTCAAATCATTTTTATGTTAACTTTTTTTATAAATCAGTAAAGAAAGATCGATCAGAAAAAGCAGTTGCAGAAAATTTAGAACAAAAACAAGAGAGAAACGACATGTACGGAGGAACTTGGAATAGCGACGAGAGATGAAGGAGAGTGGAAAGAGAGAGGAATTTGTCTGACCCGAAATGGATTACACCGAATGAGAGAGGAAGAGAGCAAGACGAGGCATCGGAGGATGAGAAAGTCACGGAAACATTTCAACGGACCAGAAAAATCGTTATAGGAACTAGGAGAAATTATTCGTTCTCGGATAAACAAGAAAAAAAAAGGATCAACATTGCTTTCCAGTGTAGCATGGTTGGTCCAAACCCAAGACTACATACCGGAACAACACCTGCTCCCTTACTGGCTATTAAAGAAAGAGGAAACCGGCAAAAGACCGACGGAGACAAGCGATTAAGATGCAATCACGAAAAAAGCTTCAAACGACTACCAAAACAGATCGGAAGAACCAATCGAGGAATTTAAGGAACACATTATTGAAGTAGATTGACGATGAGTGAAGAGGAGGAACACGAAGTGCAGCTTCCGGATCCAAGACGACGGGTGAGCTGACTCTCAAGAAAGAAAGCACATAGGCTGCGGGAAGAGCTAGGAAATCAGGGCTTATCGCAGGTCTCACGATGATTAATGGATATGATTTTGTTTGTTTAATACACTTCGGAGGTTGTCTGGCTGGACAGAATGAGACATGAAACCAAAAGAGGAGACCGAAAAGGCTTCGAGTTGATGGGGCCATACACCAACACGCAATGGAATTAGACGTTCGTAGTGGAGAACTGTATACTGGTCGACAATCGACTAGACTAGCAGTGCCAGTCGCCTTGAGACTCGCGGTAATGAAACGTCCGGAAAAAAACATGCTCAACGTGTCGAAATACCTGTGGTGGCCGCTTATGCATAAAGACATAGTCAATCTGTCAGAGGGTTACCGTAAGTGAACACGATACGGTAAGAACGTTTAAGACCCTTATCCTGAAAATGCGTCAAAATTATTAGCTTAAAGGTCCAAACTAGGACAAAAATAACAACTAGATTACACAGGGCCAATAGAACACCTTAAGGGAAAAAATGTATCTCCTAGTAGCCATAGATTGATATTCAAATTTCCCCTCAGTAAAAGTGACAAAACCTACGGGTGGAAACTCAAAGATAAAAGTCCTTTAATTGTATATCGACATACACAGAATAACGACATCGATCACATCGATCAGTTTGTGGGGTGCAAATAAAATGCTATGAATTGATTTTGCGCGGAACTGATTATCGAACACAAATTTTGCCTAGTGGGACACCACAGGGGTGTGAATTGGTGGAAAGGACCGTTCAAACTATAAAGACAAGACCTGGGTTAATGCTACTGGATGAAAAAACGAAATTGTTGAAATTGAGCCTATGCACAATCTTCAGAGACTCAAGATGGAATATGCAGAAAACCAAGCAAAAATCACCGTTCGAAGCGCACATTGGCAGGCTACCAAAAGACGAAATTCAAATAGAAAGGAATACGTTTTTCCCTCAAATATCAACTACCTCCCAGCTCAAACGACGGATAGATCAGTCACAGGAGATTGTCAGAACAGGAGCGAGGAGCCGTGACGCAAACCCGCTGTTCTAACAGCGAATCCTGTCATCTAAAAAAGGAAACAAAAAGGTCCTCAAGAACCTCCTTGAGGCGAATGCACGCTAGAACGGGAATAGAAGGGATCAGCTGCCAATTACATCAGAAAAATAGTGGATCTCACCAGTCTGACAAACTGAGAGCTCAAGAAAGGTTTGTTGTACTCAAGGGAAAAGAGTTTCATCGAGAACAAAGAAAGAAGACGACCGCTGTACAAGCTCGAGCAAGACGATCCTCGGAAGTGACGAGGACAAATAGCGACAAGGCATTAACAATCCCTCTGAAAGGGAAAGTTCTGTCGGAATCAACCTCGACGATAAAGACAAGCCGAAGGGCAATCTGCAGGAAAAGGGTCACTGCAGTTGTGAAACGAAACTACTAGAGGACAACCCAAAAACGTAGGGGCAACGGATACGAAAGGAAAACACACAAGAGACGAGCCACAGCAAGGATGCACCAAAGGAGCACCGACAGAGCCCAAAACCAAACATTCGAGGGTTGAACTCTCGAGATCCGAGGACAGCGACGATGAGGAATACGAAAGTGTTCTAATGCAGTGGCAACAGCAGAAAACGGGCCTAAAAGAGACCTAGGAAAGAAACGTTTCAGGATAACCCAGCAAATGCCACATCAAAGGAGGCAAGCTCAGGGGGAGGCTTGAACTTGGTAGCAAAAGGAGCCAAACCGAACAACGGGGTCCAAAATCCCTAACCCCGAAAACAGAGGACAAGTTGCAATCAAGAAATGGAGAAAAAAAAGACTGCACCAGAAGCGAGATAAAAACAAAGCTTCAAAAGCAGCTAAGAAGAATTGTACATTTTCTTAGGAGCAATGGATCCGGGAGAGGAAACGGAGCAGTTCAACCACCAAGAAAGCTCAAAAGAATGTCACAAAAAAAGTTGAAAAGAGAAAAGACTCAAAGACGCGACCGGAAGACATCCTGGATACGTTCTAGAAGCACTCTTTGGAACCGGAAGAGTGGGTAATTTTTGCTGACCAACTGTCACAAAGAGGGGTCCAGAAGGCGGTGGACAGAAGTCGGATTGAGAAAAAACTCAGATAAAAGAAAATACGAGAAGTTTGACCCGCCACCGGGGTTTTCTGACGAGTCAAGTAGGAGGGCAATGTGAGGACAAGCGCACGTCATTCTAAAACAATGATTCATTGCGATTCGGGGACCCAATTAAACATTTGATCAAGCAAGTCTCCACGGACTCAGAAATCACAGAGACACACGAAAGCCGCTTAAAGGAGGCGTTAACGAACCACATAATGAAGTTAGTCAGTCTTAAGCACTGGGCGGACCGACCGATTGCATCAAGGCTAACTCTCAAGACCTAATTCAAGAATTGGTCTTTCTACCTGTTAACATCAACTGAAAGTTGTGCTTTGATGAATGTTTTTTGTAGTGTTGTTTCTTTAAGACGAAACATGATTAGCCTACTAAGATTAAAGAATTTTTTATAAAACATTTGACTTGTAAAGGGAATGAAAACAAAAACTATTCGCAACAATCAATTCAACAAGGTGCGAGCTGTTCAACTTTACAAACTCGAGTGAGCAAATTTTGAAACAGCCAAAGAGTTATAACAGTCAAAACTCACTTTTGATATAAGGGCATACTAATTAAAACAATTGCTAAAAATCGGTACCATCAAAAAATTAATTGTGGTTGAGATTTCAGGCAGTACTACTTCCAAGTAAACATTTTTGTTTTAAAGTATAAATAAACTTTTTTAATAGAATCAAACATTCTTCAGAGATCAAACATCAAAAATTTTTCTTTCACAGATGACGAAACGTAATAAACGCAAAACGCCTAGTCAAATTTTTTCTTGTTTTTAGCCATTTTCACTGTGATCAGTGATGTTTTAGGTTGTGGCAGAGAACTTGCTATTGTCTTTAGTCATGAGGCTAGCTAATCCTCGCATTAAATTCGTAAAACTCAATTTTTCACACTTGGTCATTGATATTGTCCGAATTGTACAGTTTTTCACTAATTGTTTTTCAAAAACTATTCAATATGGGTTAAGGGCAGTCAGAACTTTCAGGGCTTTGCCTTGATATGCGAGCAGTCTTGTTCTAGCTTTATTTTGTTCTTATTGTTTAGCGGGAACAAGTTCAGTTCGCGGAACATTTAGCTTGCAAACAACACTGTAATTAGAGGATAAGAAGGATGGCTTTCCTTGTTTTAATCATTTGATACCTTTTGGTTCTAGCTAACGATAACTAGTTTAAAGTGACTAACCCTGGGATTTTTCTTTTAAAAAACGCGTTCAGCATGTATGGAATTTTATGACAAGCATTTTCAGTGTATAGAGGAAAACCCGATACTACGACTAACGCCGCGCCTAACTATATTAATCTTGCTTTCATCCTCATCGATAGCGAAGTCGATTTTAATGCCTTTACTATATAGAACATGTCTTGTAAATTTCACTTGCAAATAATACCAAAATATTACACTATATACAGCTTTTTATGGTGACGGTTAGTTGAAATTGAACTAATAAACCTTCGTTTGATTTAGGGTAAGCTACTTATGTCTCTTTTAGGGGCAACGCCGCTTGGCTGTTGCTCCTCATTTGCTTTCTGTTCGAACTTGAGAATTAGTTTAAGCACTGAGCTCTTTTTGCCCAGCATCATGAAGAGAAAGTCGTTGTAGGATATTGACCCCCGATTCTCCCGATCCACTTCGGCTATCATTTTCTTCAGTTCTAAACAGTGTTTTTAGATTAGTGTTTTGAGTCAGATTTGAATCGGACACTTTTTTGACTGAGTGAAAATGATCTTTTTTGACAGTGAAAATGATCTTTTTTGACTGAGTGAAAATGATCTTTTTTGTTCTGATCACCGAAAGATAATTTGCGAGCTCTGCCAAAACAGCTATAAAGAACCTTATTCGACAAATTTTTATGCGCTGCAATCAAATTTAAAAAAATATAAACGCCGTTTGTGGGATTTTTTAAACAGCTAGCTAAGAGAAAAAAATGCATCTCCTACGCGCCAAAGATTTTTTAAAAGTCCGCAAAGGCAAAATTAGCCAAAAGTAAAGCAATTAATGAATGATAAAGGTAGTCGGTTGCTGCGCAAGTAGCCTGGAAAGTATCAATTATAAATGTGCTTGCTTAAAAAAATGCAATAAAAATGAGTGTTTCAAAAACTCAAAAAATAGTTCGTCCTTAATTTTTCTGAATACTTTTTAAATACAACCGTAATCGGAACTTGTGCACTTGCAACGCAGAGGGCTCCTTTTTATCGTTCTACAATTTTTCTGTTAGTGATTGAAGTTATGGCACAATCCAGGTACGGTTCTAGGATTTTCTCAAGGTGGGCGCGGGGGACGGATTTTTCAAAAAAATTTTCGACCGTTTTGTCGACCTTTTTGTTTTATGTTGACCAAATCGATTTTCCGAGCACTCCAAAGCATTGAAAAACCCTATTTTGGCCAAATTTTTTGCACCGCAGGCAAATTTTTGAAAAAAGAAACAAGCCAAATAAAGGCGTTTTTAGGTACTTTTTGGATAGTTTTGACCAAAAAATTGCATTTTTGGGCGCGCGCCTCCTCAAAATATTGTAGCACGACAAATTACCCTTTTTCAATCTACCCTGTATACCAATTTATACATGCCAATCTACCCTGTATACCAATTTATACATGCCAATCTACCCTGCGCCTCATTTACGACGGAATCATAACAGCAAAACAGTGATCGCCACAGTCTCGCCAATATGTAATGAGCTTGCCAATAGAGGGTAGAACTCAATACGAAAATTCGAGCCGGTTATCGTCGCAAAACGGTAGATAGCCATTGGATAGATTGGAATAGAGTAGATTGTCTTCACAGTGGTAAAGTCACCTAAGTGGGTCTTGGCTTGTCCCATGTTTTCCATCATCATTTTCAGCTCCATCAAGTCAATGTCACCCGAACTGTCCAGATCGAACTCAATGAACTGCTGTTTGTAAGTCTCCAGAGAACTGAAACGTATCAAGTTAACTCCCTTGTAAACTCATAAGTAATTCAAATTTCGGATCTACATCGCAATCTCCACCCTCATGGTATCTACTAAATAGTCTCCACTTCTCTAAATAACTACAGTAATTTAGCACTATAGAGCTTTGTATTAAGAATGCTAATTTTTCCGCAGTGTTATTGGCAGAAAGTTCGACTAAATTTATGTACGTAACAATCTCCCTCCCTTTCTTGAAGAGGGGGATTGTTGAGTAGATCCCAATGTTCAACTTTCATTTTACTTTGTTTCATTTTGTCAGGCAGTCTGTAAACTTATCAGTGAATGGCTCAGTTGCCAATTTCGATGAGACTCAGATAGGTTCTTGCTTTAGTTTTTGGGAGCCCCTCCTAGTAGCAGAGTCCGAGGGAATAAAATTATATCGGACTAATCGAACTCTTAGAAAACTTGAAAGTGAAATAAGAAAAAAACAAGCGGGACTGCTCAAAACAGGGACGGATCTAGGATTTTCTCGAGGAGGTTGGGAGTGGATTTTCAAAAAATTTTCGAAAATTTGGTCGACCTTTTTTTAGAAAAAAATTTTGAAAAAAAAACAGGCCAAAAAGGCGTTTTTAGGCACTTTTTGGAAAATGTTTACAAAAAAATCGCCTTTTTTTGGCGCGCGCTCCCCTCTTCAAGTATATATTGGCGTCAAAGGCACCTTTTGAAAACTTTTAGGGTTCGTCTGCCAAAAATGGATATCTCAAAATAGTTCAAAGGGTCGGCAGGGGGTCGAATCCCTGAGGAAAAGAAGTTATTCAGAAGTTCTCTGCCATGAGATTTCATCTAGATGGCTTGTAAGCGAAGTTTTGAAATTTTTTAGATACTTTTTGATCAATCAGACAGTTTGCTTTTCCAAAATCCTAAGGAAAACCGACCAATTTCTTAATAACCGACCCAGCTTTTAATTTTATACGAGCGACTGGCAAATTTTGAGCCCTCTTGCAAAATTGTCGCAAAAAATTTTTTTTTGTTTCAAATTCTCGTCTTAAAAAAAATAGAAAAAAAAGAAGAAAGAGAAGCATGTATTTCTCCAAACAAGCACACCAAAAAGTATTTCTCCAAACAAGCACACCGACTTTTATGGTAAAAGATATTAACTGGACATAACCTGGTTAAGTCTGGATAATCTTCACTGTCTCCGTAATCAGGGTCGTCTAAGTAATTCCTGTTTATTTCGTCCAATTTTTTCTCCTGTTCTTCTTTAAGCTGGCGGAATTTCTTGCCGCCCTGGTAATCTGCCATCTCTGGAAAAATTGAAAAACGTTTGTAAATAAAAATATAACAATTTTTATCCATAGCCACCTGTCTATAGCCATGTTTTCTTTTTCAAAATATTGATGGAATTTGATACTCAATACTGGTCAGAAAAAGTATGGCAGCATCAATACTACATTCAAAAAATAGCCATTCGGGTTTTGAGAAAAATACTTTTTTTACTTACCTGAATTTCAAAGGGATCGATCTATTGTGATTTTCCACCGGTAAAATCTAGTAATTATAGATTGTTTTCAGTTGTTTGTGGAATTAAAACTTACAGACAACACACCAAATACAACGTTGAAAAAATAAAATCACAAATGTTTTACGTTCAACTTGTCGTCAAACGAAAATCATTCATGATTCGTTAAAACGTATTTTCGAAGCTCTAAGTAAAAACTATTGATGATACAAATCCGAGCGTCGCGTTTTCTTTCTGACGTTTCAGTCCGCTAGGAGAGAAAGACGATGCAAATTATGTGAGAGGGTGGTACTGGTCTTGAAAGCCTAGTAATCAACTGCTTTTGTTATATGCCATTAGTTAGATGCCACTTGATTTCCAATTCTTGAGAAGCATATTTGGTCGAAATTTATTTGCTTGCGAAAAACTATCTTTTGGATTCTTTGAAAATAAATGAAAATCTGATCATTTTAACGAAGCCAAAACTGAAGATATAGAACTGCAATGCTCAAAACAGAATTTTTTTATAAACAAAACAAGTTAGAGATATGAAGATATATCACGCAGCATGATTGATTATAACTTGTTTTAATTTTAACAATCAATCAATTTACATTTCATCAACCAATCGAAAAACAAAATATCTACCAAAATTAACTTTTCAAAATTCCGAACCAACTAAAAAAATTAACTCTTATGTTGTGCAAAACCTACACAAATCTCATTCTTTCAAATCGATGAGAGCTGCGATGAATCTTTCATGTTACAGTTAGCAAAAACCTGAAATAGCTTTTTATACTCAATTGTTACTTCATTGTGAGACACTTGTCGTGTTTCTTTTGGAAAGCCAATGTTTTCAAAATTTTCAAAAAATTTTTATCTGACTCACTGCAATATTCATCTCTTATAAGTTAACTATATAACTTATAAGTTAACTTTGAACCTCATATACCTTTAGCTGCAACACAGAATGAAATTTTCCGTTCTGTTTACAAAATCTTATTTCTACAAAATTTTCCGCGTAATTAGTTTCGGCAAACAAAACTTTGCTAAAAATGTAGATTACTTCACGTGGTTTTTGCCAGCAGTGCCATAAATCAATATAAAAAATCTAATGAATGGGTTGAAAATATTGCCCATAAAATTGTAGCATCAACCAATTACTAAGCAAATTTCTTGTATTGTTTAAATTGAGACAAAATCTTACATTTTTTTAGGTGAACAAGCTCCAAAAAACAAAAAACCTCTGGTCAATGATTACACCTAAGTATTTGAAATTTTAGGTTTTTTAGAGATTGGTTGTTGCATTTAGACTGCGAAATTTTTTCTTTGCTTGTTACCGAAAACTGAGTTTTCCCTTTATCTATTGTCATTTTCTCTGCAGCAATCAATTTAGAAGTTTCTATGAGTTCACTTTCAGTGTTTTCTGATTCTTTTCATCTTCAAAAAAAACTTGTTTCATCAGCAAACAAAATGATTTGGAGCTCTCTGTAATGCTTCAGGTAGATCATTTTTCACAGAGCGGGAAAAATTTAGGCCAATTTTTGACACAAACCAATTTTTGACCACTGGTTTAAAAATTTCGAGAACACCCTGATGGCAAACGCAATTTTTTTGATAAGAGATATAACACTCCAAGAGTGAATGAACAGGGCCGCTCAAGCCATATATTTGGCATTAAGTGAGTAGAAAGGAAGACTCAACTGTATTAAAGGCCTTAAACAGATCTAAAAACATGCAAAATAAAGACTTTTTCTGCGTTTGCCCTCTAAAAATTTTTCATAGTGGTCCAATATGGCATCAACTTTGAATTTTTTTGTTCTGATAACCAAACTGTTTAACCGATTAAGTTTTATTCCTGTTAATAAATTTTACTAAGTGTTTTTCGATTAATTTTGCAAAGAAATCACAAAAGTTTGGAAGGAGAGAAACAAGAAGTAGAGATATCAGACAGTCTGGATAGTGTTTCGTTCACAATTTTGTGAAAATATCACAAAATAAATGGAAAACTACTGCGTTTACTACTTTTAAAATTTTCGCGTTCTATTAAAATCCTCCTTTTTGGTTTGAAAGTTTCAATGTTTGGTCAGGAAGTTCATTACTATCAAAATCAGCTTAATTGTTGTTTTTCGGAACAGAAAAATGTGATATTGCATAACTACATTGTTGTGTGATAGAAAGCAAGCAATAATAATTTATATCAATATTTAATTTCCTACTCTCACACAAGACTCTAGCCATGCAATCACACAGTTTTTTTAAATGCAATAATGCAATAATTTCTTTGGTAAAATTCAGTAAACTAAGCAACTATCGTAATTTTTTGTCACAGGGGTCAGCCCAAAAAAGCACCATTCCCAATTTTTTCTGTCTCTTGACAAAACCAGTTTTTTTATAGAAAACCTAAAATTTTTGAAAAAACTATCAGCTTTAAACCTAATCAAAAGATTAAACATGAATTGTTGGCAAAATTTAACTGATCACCAACTTTTTTGTTCTGAGACCAGCAGCGGGATCAAATTTCTTAACAATTGTGTTACTGCACTACGAAGATCAGCAGAAAGTTGCATCACTTCAATTTGCCTTTAAAATTTATGGTTTTCAAGCTTTGATTGTTTGATTCTTTCAAAACTATAAAGAAAATCACATTCATTTGTAAACATCAGCCGTAAAAGGTATCATGTGTATATTAAATTGTTCCTTTTTAAATTTTTTCAAATCGAAAGCAGTCAAAATTTGCATCATTCTGGTTGTTTTTGACCTAATATACCAGATCTTTAGGCTGATTAAAAAAAATTTTCTACACCTTCAAAAAAATTCGGAAAAAAAAATCAAAAGTGGAGGAAAATGTAGTTGCAAAGCTTTGTTGATTAATCAGTGCGGTAATATTTTTGTTTATTTTTACCAAAATTCAATGTCAAAAAGTTCAAGCATCGAATTAAGTTATAATCAATAAAAAATTGTTTTATAAAAAAAAAGGTTGAAATACCATGCAGTTTTCGAACAGAGAATAAAACAAAGCCAGTAATTTAAATTGCATTTGTTAGTTTTAACTTCCAGGTCTGTGCTGGTTACTGTTTCCTCTTGAAAAAAATTTTCAGCTCCAAAAAAATTATTGCAAAAAAACAGCTCAAAATTTTTTGAGTTATTAATTTTCATTCAATTTCAAAAAGGAATAACCAGATGATTTATTCGTTGATGACCTTTTCTATGAGCATTTTTTAAATTCGAATGACAAATTTTTTCAAGGAAAGTATATTTAGCTTTTGGTACAGCTTTGAAATGACACTTTTGAACCTATTTGTAAAATAAATTAAGTCCTAATATTATTTTAAATTTTTTTCTCACAAAATTATTAAGATTAGTCGTTCCAACCACGTAAAAAAATTGGGTCTCGCATTGGGGGCACAAAATATTATGCAAAAACAAAAAAAGAAGCTAGCTGCAACTTAGTTTTAGCGCACATCACATCTTCATTTTAACTTTTAGACTTCGAAAAGTGTTTATTCAAAAACTCATTTGATGGTATAAAACTATGAAGAACTAGGCCGGAACTGTGTTGATAGGTTTAAATGATGCCAAATGATTGAAAACTTTTTCAGTCTTTCTGTATTGAGAACAGTCCCCATGCAGACGCAGTTCAATCGGCAACTAAAACCACTTGAGTTTAAGCCAGAGAGAGCTTACTCATAGAGTAATTTCAGATAAGGTACACCATCTGTTCGTCACGCTATCTGATTTTCGGCCGGATAGATTTGTGCAACTTCTTAGTCTAATACCAATCTTAATCTTACTCTTGTATCTCGTAGTCTCAATAGATCTAGCGTATACTGGTATTTTCGATATAGTTCTTGGATTTTATCCAGAAGGAGAACAACTGTAGTCTAAGATTTATTCAATTTGTTTTGGTGCTGAAACTACAAGTAGAAGTGAAAATTGAATATCTTGAGAGTCTAGTTTTTGACTAGAGATCCTACAGGACTGGAACCAGTTTAAATTTAATATTCATAACCAATTATATTCTTGATAAAACTATCTCTAAAAAAATTCTTGAAAGACAATCATGATCCTCAACTAACACTGACAATTATTTTTAGTGCTGAAACTACTTGTAGTTTCAGCACTAAAAACAATTGTCAGTGTTAGTTGAGGATCATGATTGGTTTTCAAGAATTTTTTTAGATTTAGTTTTATCAAGAATATAATTGGTTATGAATATTAATTTTAAACTGGTTCCAGTCCTGTAGGATCTCTAGTCAAAAACTAGACTCTCAAGATATTCAATTTTTTTTAAAATTGATTGACGGTTAGGCAAAAACAGTTGCGGAAAAACAGAAATCGCTCTCAATCCTTGTTTGAGGGGCTACATATTTAGATGTCAAGCAATTTAGTTGCTATCCACTATTATTTATATTCTTAAGAGTTTCTCATATTATAACTAAGTGTGAATTTGGTACCTGCCTGTCAGTCAGTCTAGGTCTGTATAGTCTGTTATTGTTGACCTCTAGTTCAGTGTCTTATTCATGTGAACTAGAATCAAATTGAATTTAATCTTCAACCATTCAGTTATACTTACCCTTGTTATGGCGCAGTCAGCAGGACTTGTTTGTGTTTAGACGAAAATGACCTCGAGATGAGCACGATCGCATTTCCCAAACACTCATACTGGGAGGAGAGATCAGATCTAGTGTACGCCCCAGCGTTAAGAAATGTACACTTAATCCTCGATAGCGATCAAAAAATGGAGACTGGCCAAGGGAACGAATCAGTGACTAAGCCAAACATCCAAGGGAGTGAAAGGAAGTACGGGGACCTCTACCAGCGTACCACCAGCCGAACTCTGAACCGGTATAAACTCTTAAAGTCTAATGTAATCTCCGAATCTAAACATACCATCAAACTGAAAAACGGGTCTGTGCTAAGGAAAAGTGCCGTGGCAGTAAGACCGAAGAAGATTCTGCCAAAGAAACGAAAGCCGGCCACACTTCAAGAAATGCTCGCAAGTGCGAAAAAGGGGGCAAAAGAAAGCCCAAAATCAAAGCGGCCTAAAGCAAAACAGCCATCACCTATAGCAGCAGACCCATCCCAAAGCTTTGACAGTGAGGACTACCAGCCTTTACATTCGTTACCCGTACGACTACCAAACGAAAATTCGGCACGGCAGGAGGCAATCAGAGCGGGGGCAAGGACCAAGTGGCACATTAGCACAAGAGGAGCACGGAACGGGAGCTAAAGTGAGGACTGCTAAAGCTAAATGGGGAAAAGGGATCCAGAACAGACCGTCATTAGTTGCGAGAGAGTGCTTTTCAAATAGCAGTCAGCAAGAAGTAGAGTCGGGAAGTCAAACCGAAATTTTGGAAACGCGAAGGAGCACAAGACGACGGAAACCAGTGGACAAGATGAGAGGAGTGATGATAGAAATTATCCATGGGTTGACAAAGATTTGGAAATATCCAGGGGAAGACAATCAGTAAACTTAAAACTCATAATTCAGGGAGAGCGGTGGCCATAAGCCTAAAACTCAAAGTTCTCGTGTTGTTAGTTGCGACGGCAGATTTCAAGGTTACTACTTATAATATTAAACTTAAATTACTTTGTATTTAAATTTTACATATGTACGGAAATGTGAGGGGCTACATATTTAGATGTCAATCAATTTAGTTGCTATCCACTATTAACTATATCCTTGAGAGTTTCTCATATTATTACTATGTGTGAATTTGGTACCTGCCTGTCAGTCAGTCTAGGTCTGCCTAGTCTGTTTTTGTTGACCTCTAGTTCAGTGTCTTATTTATGTGAACTAGAATCAAATTGAATTTAATCTTCAACCGTACAATTTTACTTACCCTTGTTACAAGCGAGCAAGCTAATTTAAAACAGGGAAAATGAAAGGTTGATATGCAATTAAACAGTACCAATCGGTCAAATCCGATAAAAATAAGGATGATTAATACTTTGTTCTCTCGGTCACTAACTTTTTGCAAAAAATTTGAATTGCCGATTAAAGCAAGTTTATTTCAAAAAAGTTTGCAGATGTATTCAAGAGCAAATTTATTTCAAAAAAGTTTGCAGATGTATTCAAGCGGGTTAAACAGCTTTCTCATCGCACAATAATTACGTTTGAAAATTGATTTTGATAAAGTTTTGGCTAAACCCATATCAGCAATCCAAATTATTACTATTTTTTGTTGTTTGAGCATTGCAAAAGTATTCCAAACGATATACTACTGGATTAGTTTAAAGCTAAAAGTCAATTTGAGAAGAAGTTACTTGCAGGCAAGATTTCTACAGAAAAAAGAAACAGCACAAAAAATACTTAGAGGAAGATAAAGGATGTAACTGTTAGAGAAGAAGAGGTTGGATTTATGAGAGACTTTTGCCGAATACCTGAGAGCAGAACTAAGGAACTTTGTTGATTTTTAGATTATCTATTTTTCTCCTGGAGATGAGGGCCTCACTTGGATTTGACCTGAAATCGTCACTTGAAACGAGAGTAAATGTTCCAATGCATATATTCGTCATAAGTTGACACGGTAATTTTTTCACATGCCATGTATTTTCGCCATGCTTACTAAAGTTAACCAACCCCACCCTCAAACCCCCCACCCACCCAGAGAAATTTTTACCCCCTGAAAAGGTGGCAGTTACTCAACATCACTCCTGCCAAATTTTTAAGACCCTACTGCACTAAGCCGGAGATGGGATAACTTTGAACAAAAATGTATTTTATGTATAACCTCTCATAAAAAATTCATTATTAACGATTATAATGTCCATTGTAATGAGTTATATTGACATAAAAAAATATTATAATTATTATCCGTTTTAATGGTTTATAATTGATTTTGATATTTTAAGTTCACGTAGAAAGTATGAGGATTTGTAATCCATTTTTCAATTAATTATAATTCTGACAATATAATCAATTATGATCCATGGGCCCTCGGTGCAGGAAAAGTATGGAATGAAGAGTAAACCGCAGAGTGAACCACCACCGACTCGTTTTATTGAGCTCTTTTACTTTTTTAGGAGGGGAGTCAACATGGGTGACACAATTTAGCTTCTTTATGGTAAATGTTCGGCCTATCCATCTTTTGTTCCGACCTCCGAACATTGAAAAAGAAGAGGAATTTGTGTTCGATTGTCTTTTAGTCTTTCCTTTTCTCCACGCAAAATTATGTACCATAAATCATAATCGGACTCGGTTAAATGTAAATTATTTTTAAACTCTCCAGTCGTAATTTAAAGATTCGAAAATGTCCAAAAAAATTTCCCAGTGTCGAGAAAAACCTGTTTGAAATTTTCAAATTTTTGTCCAAATTCGAATGAGTAAGGCGAACGAGCAGGCCTACTATAGAAGGCTAGTCGCAGATGCAGATAGGTAATAAATAAGCCATAAAATTTTCATTGAAGCCCTGAAAAATTTGATGAGATCAGTTTTTTGATTTTTTTTCGTGTGCCATCTTGGGAATCAAAACTCCAAAAAAAAAGAAAAAAATGGCAAAACAATTTGAATTTTTTCTAAAATTTTTTTAAATCTTTTTTATTAGCGTTGTTTCAAAGCAAACTGTTTTTCAATATGCCTATTTTTTTATCAATATCGGAAATGGCTACAACTTAATCTTTCGTTCAGATCCTTTCATCACGCCACGCACAAAAAAAGGAAATTATTTTTTGGATGATTGCAGAGCAACCTGCTGTTTTTGTTTTAAATTTTTCCTTTTACCATTTTTTGCAATGCAAGTTTGCTTGTCTGCTCACATTGCTTTTATTTGATACTTTCTTGTGTTTTTTTTTGTTTTCCACGCAAAATCAGGTACCAAAAAAATATACGTCAGGTTGCGTCGATTAATATAGCATATTGAAACCCGTTCAGACGTGATTCAGATGACAGTGATAACTTTCAAAAAAGTATCTCAGTATCGAGAAAAACAGGCTTGCAGTTTGTTTTTAGGCTAAGTTTGAGCAAATAAAGCGACCAAATAGGCCTTAAATAGTTAATTTTAATAGCTTAATAGCTTTTATTAGCTCAATTTGAGCCGTGAAAACTTAATTCTTTTGCTTAAATTTAGTTTTTTGAGTCTTTTAGCGCCATTTTGAGAACAAAAGCCTTCAAAAACTCAAAAAACTGCAAACATAAAGTGAATAAACATTTGATTTGTTGATAAATTTTTTGAATGATTTTTTTTCAGTTTTTCAAGTCATTTTTCAACGAAAACTGTAGTTTGCTTAAAAAAATAAAACTGTCAATTATGCTATGTTATATTGTTTGCTTAGATCTTTTTATCACACCACGCAAAAAAAAACGTGGCTAATTTGAATTAAAAAATTGTTGTATTTTTTTGAAGACTGTGGTCGGAACATGGTTCTGTGTTACTTGCACAGTAACCAGTTAGCCTTGTTCATCTTTGCTACTATGTAATTTATCATCTTAGTAGTTTGTAGTTCAGCCATTTCAGTATAAAATAAACTCTACGTTTAAAACCATTTGACGATCAGTGGTTCTGAGAAAACATTAAGCTTTGTTGATTTAATATTTTTTGTTAGATTCAATTAAGTATCTTTTGTTAGGCAATTATTAAAACAATGCTGAAAAACTAATAAAACAAATTGTAAATTTCTTATTTGAAAAGAATTGAAGTTCAAATTAATCATTCAAACTCGATAAAACAAATAATGTCAAAAACAAAATTCTCGACAACAAATAATGTCAAAACCTATGCAAAGTTTGATTTCTTGATTTCTTGCCAGTAAAAAAATGACGGTAGGCGTAGTGACTTGCAAGTGAACCGAGAATCATGGGCATTTTAAATACTTCCTTTTTCAATTTTTAAAACTACTGCCTTTGTTTCTAAATGCGGATTTGGCAAGAATCAAACCCAACATTTTGAATTGAATTGAATTTGATGCAGATAAAATTTTGACACACATCATTTTGATCAAACAGGTTAAATAAATCTACATCAGGACTGCTATACAGGTAATTCAACCTTTCGAGTAGCATCCTTTTAGGTTACCTAGAAAACATTAACAGGTAGCGAACGGTGCTAGTGCAATAAGCAAATGAATCAATTAATCAAAACTTTAATATGTATGATAATGTATGTCAACTTCCTATGCTGCGGTCAATGTTCGCCTCAAGTCATTACACGTCGGTTTGGGCCTGCTCACTTTTTACAATCAGTGGTCGGTAAAAGCCTTTGCAGGTCATGATTGACTTCTAAAAAATTTATCTGTATGTCGTTTTTTAAGTATAGCGTCTTATTTCACGCCAGAAAATATTTGCGTGAAAAATAATTGGGGTAGGCTAACCTGCGCGCACTGCTGATTGGCCGTTTTCCGAAATAATTTACTGAGTGCAAAATACAATTTTTAAAAGTTAGAGGCAGCAAAATTAAACCTCGAGATAAAAAAAATTCAATGTTGCACTGATTTCTCACAGGCCACCAAAATTTTTGGGCATTTGGTTGTTCTTGAAATTCGATCACCGGTCGCTTGTTCGTTTCAGGCATTTGTTCGTTTCAGGCGTTTGTTCGTTTCAGGCATTTGGTCGTTTTGGGCATTTGGTCGTTAACCAATTAGATGTTACTCTTTAGAAACACCTGCAAACTTTTAACCTGCAATCTTTTAACTTCTGAAAAAATTTGAAATAATGACGGGACAATTAGGGCGCACTAGCTGACCCACTAAACTCTAAAATTTAAAAATGCCCTTTATTTGAGTAAAAACATAGTATGAATTATTTTGCAAGTCGCAAGCGGTATTTTGAAAACTGCAGAAAATTGTGTTCAAAAAACTTGAAATAGTGATATGTTCCAGATTATTCCTTCTCGTGATATTTTCCTTCATGAATAATCGAAAATCAATTTGCTAAAACAAACTTTATGTTGAAGTTACCATATTTTGAACTAAATGAGATCAATTGAAGAAACACTTTGTGTTAACTTTCGTAGCTTATGATATTTCATAACTCAATAATTGTTTGTTCAGTCGTTTGCCAGCCGTTACAACCAAATTTCTATAGACAATTTAATATTTAAAGAACAGCTTTGCCTTTTTTTAATCAATTTTGAGACCAAGTTTACTTGAAGATTTTCTTTTTGCATTGGTTAATTTCAAAGGATATTTTTTGTCCAAGATTGGTTGTTGTGAGCGATTTCAATAGCTCTCGAGGGGGGAACCTTAAATACACAAAAACTCATATCAAACCAATCATGAGTTTATTCCACAGTGAGTGAGTTATTAAAGCTATGCTGTGCAGAAGGGTTTTAAATCATCATATCTTATAAAAACAGAGTAACCAAAATGCCGTCATCTGATCTGAATTATTGGGGCCTGTTTTGGGCAGTGACTTATTCCTTCGCAATCAGCACTTACCTCCTCCTAGCCAAACTGACTGCTGGCTTGCCCTATTATGTGCTGGCATCACGTGCTCTCTTCCACATATCAATCAGCGGAATAGTTCTGTCTCTCTTCTGGGAAAAATCGGTCTGGGAAGGCACGAGAAAAAATTACAGACTTATTTTCTTCAGGTAACTTTATTTTTGTTATAAGAATAGTTAACGCATAAAACAGTCTTAATTCTCTGTACTGACAAAAATTGCTGCTGCTTGCTGGCTTCATCCGGTCAAAAATGATCTTGAAAATCAGAATTTGCAGGCCAGTTATTGTCCAGACTAAAAAAAAACAGAACTTTTTAAAAACCGGTTGATTCGAGCCTTAAAGGAACTTCATTATAACTTTTCACTCGAGCCCATTTAAAGTTAGTTTTTGAAACTTGATTTTGAGTAGAAAATAAACACGCCTAAACCTACGTTTTTTTTTCAGTTTATGGTTGGAACAAAAATATCTTCTGTTCTAAGGTCGGCTATCAATGGTGCCACAATGTCAACCAAAGTGCTATGTGTGCAATACATCTCAGTGGCAGACCTGTCAATCATATCGCAGACCACGCCCGTCTTCGTCTGCATAATCGCCACCCTCTTCATGAACGAGAAACTAACTAAGATAGACTGTCTCATCATTCTCAGCTGCTTCACTGGAGTCATATTTGTCATGCAGCCTACCTGGATTTTTAGGCAAGTTGCATAAAAAGATTAACAATTTATTCAATTTTTGATAAGTATACACGGATGTAGATATAAGGCTCGGATCTCTTTAAATTTGCCCCCTTTTTGCATAAAACATTTTAGAAAAGGGTGACAATTCGTTACTATGCAACATGGTGGGATAGATAGTAAAAGAGACTCGAAGGCTCTGCTTCGCAAAAGTTAAGTCAAGTAGTAAATGACAAAATGGGGTGATTTTTGAGACGTATACTGAGTTCTGGAGTGGCGAGGTTCAATTTCATCATCACTTGATCACTCTTGAACTATGCAGGGTAATTATTATGAAAGCAAATACCATTAAAAAATATATCTTAATGCAGATGCCTGAATGAAAACCTTGGGGTGAGTCATCCTTCGACGATAGAGAGTGATACCAGCATAGCAGCTGCTTCCTGTGTGATGTTGCTGGTGGCCTTTCTCAACGCTGTCACCACAGTGATTCTCAAGAGACTAGCTGATAAGAATGTGCACCCCTCTGCGATCATTCTAACCAGTGGATGCTCTTTACTAGGTAAACGTTTTTTTTTTAATTTGTTTCCGACTGGCAAGTAGCGATAGAGCCGTGGCATGTCGGCCGCGAGAGGAAAAGTCGGGCAGGATCATTTCGGTCAAGTAAGTCTGGAAATGGTTATTAAGTCTTGTCGCTTCGCGAACGTCTGTATGTATCAAATATCGGTCACGAAAGTGAAGTCGTAGTCTCCGCCCTGGTCTGATGCCGCGACTGATGTTTTTGGTCGCGTAAGGCCAGAGAGCCAAAATTTTGTCGAGAAAATCTGGACATGGAACGCAAACCATTGCTCGGCAGTTCATTATAAAAGCAAGCGCTTTTTTTGAGTTCTTTGGAATGCAGACCTCAACCCGCCTATTCTTTTTCAAATCATTCGATTTTTTAAAGATTTCTAAGGACTATTTTTTGCATTTGTTTCCATTGTTTTTTGCTTAGCACTGACACAGCGTGTTCATCCGCTCGTTTAAAAACTTTCATGTTTATTTTAAGAAAATTCAAGCTATTTATTTATACTAATAAATGAAACTCAATTTAATTCAGGCTCAACTATCTAAATAGGCTGAGAAAAAACTGTGCGAAAAAGTTTTCTGGGTTGGAATGAATAAAAAATTGACACCTTTTTAGTTGCTTGTGAAAGAAATACGTTATGTGATGAATTTTTAGCAATAGAGCTCACTGATTTGTTGATATCTTATTAAAATTTTTAAAGTATTTTGAATAATTGAAAATAGCTACATGGATCAATTATAAACAGTGATTTTTCATCATTAAAACCGAAAAAAAATAAGGGAAAAATAATTGCAAACTTGTCGGATATGCTCCAAGGCTTTGTAATAGCAATTAGTCGTCAGCTTGCAATAACAACATTTCACGTTCGGTAGAGCGTTCGCTTTGCGATTTTCATATTGCGTATTCGATCCGCTTTTGTGGCAATGATAATGTTCGATGATGAGCTCTCACTTGACTCCTATCTTCAAGTCTACCACATACAATCCAACTTTTGCTATCGTTTTGGTACAGTGCTGCTTCAAATTATCCGGACTAGACGAATAAAACTTGAAATTAAAAACGCATCTTCTCAAATTGGGTTGACATTAGACAAAAGCTGATCTTCACGAAACTTGCTTCGAATTATCAATATGATGCAATTATTTTTCCGACATCCGGGTTGAACATTTTACCCCAAAAATGACCAGTTTGACTGTTTTAACCAACTAAAATTACGCCAAAGATATAAGTTCAATTGCTGACAAAACTGAATTAAATTGAGCCTACAATGCATCCCCTCAAAATTTAAGAAAAGTTTTATCTCAAAAAAATGGCGCAAAACGTCTTAAATTTGTTTTAATTTCAAAATTGATATTCTTTTCCCTTTTAAAAACGACTTGGTTAAAATGACCCTTTTTTACCCCCAATAAAAATGATCCTTTTTAGCTATCAAACAAAAAAAATCCTGAAGAAAAGTTAAAGTCTTAATGTTTTTGCGTTTTTTAAATTGAGCTCACAAAAAAAATTCTTTGGAAATTTTGCCGGATTAAATAAGAGTCTCACTTTGATTTGAATTTGTCAGAATCAATAGCTTATCGTAATTTTTGATTGACTAAAAAATTAAAAATGGTTAATGCAAATTTTCCAAGAAAAGTGCACCATGCGAGTTCTGCACAAAAAACTCTGAGCAAAATTTGTATTCCTCAGTTTTTGTCTAAATTCAACCCAAAATGCGAAAAAAAGAAAAGCGTTTTTTAGGCTTTATTCGTTTTGTGCGAACAATTTGAGTCAACACTTTAATATGTTGAAAGCAAGCTCTCACAAAAAACCACATATAGGTGCAAACAAAACATCTCTCAGTTTTTAAAAAATTAGCCTATAACCGGAGGAAAAAATGAAAACAGACTATTTTGAGACTGCAAAGTCTTCAGTAGATCCGCTGCGATTGAGAGTAACGATTTGCTTGTCAAATGTTAAATTTATCATAGCCTGAGTTAGCGATGACAAACTGCATTTTTTAAGCTTTTCTAAAAACTTAAGTCAAAATGCACTCCCGAACCATGGCACCTAGTGACATTATTGTGGAGTTTAGTACCCTGGCGAAAGTATGTTTTTCAGTATAATGCAAAACAACCATCGCTACGCATATGTCACTGAAACCAATTGTCGTGGAATTTCTTATCACTCCTCGCTGATCAAAAGTTATTTCAACGCTTGGTGTCAAACAAGCGTTGCTTGATGCCAACAAATTTTTGCCTACAAATCGTTTTTAAAATTTGTTGACCTGGAGGCAAAAATTAACCGGAAAAAATTCCGGAAAAAAACTCCTGCAGGTTCATTAGCTACATTAGCCCCCGAACTTTGCGTGGCTGTGAAATTATACTTCTTTGAAAATAAAAAAAATCATATTTTTCAGTATGGAATTTTTTTTACTTTCAGCAGTTTCAGCAAGATTTTAAAATCTTTGCTAAACTAACATATCTCTGAAATCAAGAAATTTGAGCAAGGTTTTATTACTTATAGCAACAATTCCAGTGTTTTAGTATTTTTGTTATTTCCCCGCAAAATCAGGTACTACAAATAATCATCGGAATAGATCAAATGAACAGAATTAAAAGTTTGCCCCAGCATTGAATTCACAATTTTCTTTTTTGTCACTTCATTTTACTATAAAAGTTAGTTTTTGGAAATTTTTAGCGCCATTTTGGGAATCAAAAACTGCTGCAAACAAAACTTCAAAATTTTTTAAAAAAATTAAGCAAATAAAAATCTGAAATTAAAAAAATTTTTTGCTTCTTTTTGTTTTTTAGTCAATTTTCTACAAAAATGATTGTCCAGTTTGCCTAGTTACTATGATTTTAGAGCATTATGCCTTTTATGCTTTTTATCACATCAGGCAGAAAATGGCACTAATTAAAAAAAATTCAAAAAACTATGGTCGAAACATTCTGCGCTACTTGCACAGTAACCGGCTGTCCTTATTTAGAATCACTTTTGGTGCTTATATAAGAGTTTAATAGTTAAAATACGCACAAATTACCTCGATTTAAAAAACAAACCTACCAGTAAAAGCCAAAACATAGAATGTAGAACGTTTTTTTACACTAAATAAGATTTCATAGAGAAGCCTATGGTTCTCTAAAATCTAAAATCGTGCTTTATTTCGAAACTACAGTAATTTGATGTTTTTGTATTCTGAATAAAGAAATTGAAATAAAAAAATTCTTCTTCTCATTTTTTTGTTTAGGTTTCAGTACATTTGGGTTGTTGCTTTCACTCTGGAGAAATAAAGTTCCAAGCTCACACTTATGCGTTGAGAGCTGGACTGTATCATTAATGGCGCTCATCACTGGTTTGATCGGGTATTCAGCCCAACTAACCAATTTTCTGGCATCACAGAAGATCAAAGTCAGTGTAAAAAGCGTTATTTGCTGCACTCAAAATGTAATCCTGGGATTTGTTTACACAGTGATTTTGACACCAGAAGTGGCTGGAGTGAATATTTGGAAGATTCTTGGTGCTATTTTGGTTATCATTTCTGGGTTACTTCTTTATGCCAAAAAAGAGAGCCAGTTTTTTCAGTTTGGATCAAACTCTAGTTCAGTGACATCACGCACTAATACCACAACCACAGCTGCTTTCGAACTTCAGGAGCCTTTACTAAATAACGACACAACTTTCTCAGACTCGGACGAAGATTTGTTTTCCGCAAAAGTTACGAAAAAAGAATAACTTTTTTTGTCTATATCTAGGAAATTGTAATTCCATGTTCTGGAAAAATAATTGTATAATTCTCTTAAGTTCGGCTTGGAGAAGAAATTTAATGTTGATTAGTGCAGCACGTTTACTTTTTCAAATCACAGGAAATCCAAAAAGTCAATCAGATTTGCAGCATTCAAAGAATTGGCACAACTGGTTTTTAGCTTGTCTTGTAAGTGGCACAGAAGTTCTGACACCCAATTTGTTATTTTCCTGTAGGCATTCGTTATATTTGTGAAAGGGGAGGGTTCTCATGCTTGAAGGACCGAATGCTTGAAAAATTTCAACCAATCAAAATCGCTAAGCGTTTCTATTGGCTAAATGCCTTTCTCACAAAATCGATGTCAAAATTAACAGAAAATGCATTAAATCAGTGGAAAGTTAAAAAATATATATTCCAAACTGCGGGTTACAACTGCATTACTATTCAGATAATCTTCAAGATTATTGAGTTCAAAATCATAAGAATTTTTCAGTCTTGAAAACTCATCTGCTTTATTATCTAATCGGTCAATATTAAGACTAATGGCCTGGATTTATTTTCTTACATTGAGAATTTCGCGATTTAATTTGAGATTTTGAAGACTCAGTTCTGATTGGCTGGAAGTAAGCTAAAATTAATTTCAAGCATTCGGTCCTTCAAGCATGAGGGACGCCACCTTTGTGAAGGACTACCCAAGTTCGATCCGCAGTCCCAAAAAAATAACGATTGATTTTCTCACAAAGTAGTTTTTATAAGGATCAAGGACCACTTCCACTTGGTTTCTGCTTGCTAGTCTCCTTCAAAGTTTTCATTTGCAGTTAACTGCAGCATCCAATTATGAACTGCCAAAAAATCCAACGTTTTGATTGCCGGAAAAAACTTTCCGGTGATCATTTCCACTGATTGGCAGATAGTTTGCTTCGCCTGACAATATGTGAAAAAAACCTGAAAAAAAGCCATTACGGAAAAAAGATTCCTCTCCTGGTCTTGTAAGGACATCCTCTGTTAGCTCTAGCTTTTGAAAGAACCACAACACGGTAGGCTTTATTTTAGCTTCAAATACAGGGGCGAAGCTGCTTTTCGCAAACACAAGCAAAAAAAGCGACAAAAAGTAGCTCTTAAAAGGTCAAGCCTCAAAAAAATAAAGAAAAGAAGAAATTAGGAGACAGAAAGCTCTCCTAGGTTCCGGTATCGAATCTTTGACCTCAAGATTAGGACCCAACTGTCCTTGCATCTGCGCCATGGTCACTTTACCGTTTTTAAACAATCGCCACCAAAAACAATCAAGATGATCTTAATGCAGCAAAAACACACTAGTCCAGTCACAGCTTTGATAATTTTAAATGAACTGATGCAAACCGTTATGCGTAGTTTTCAAATTGTCGAAAATTGAACAATTGATTGCTGATTTCTTAGCAAAAGTACTGAGAAAAAGTTTTAGCGAGGAAAATCAGTGAAACATCTCCGTTTGAATGATTTGTTAACTTCAAAATGTGAATTTTGGTGAAATTGAGTGAGGTCAACAAAATGGGTCAAAAGGTTACTTATGGTGTTTTTACCAGGTTCATAGCAGATTCCCGGCCAGAATTGGTAGAATCAACTGATGAAGAGGATACACCAAAAAGTTGTTATTTAAATTAAACCCTTAATTGTAGAATTGGCATGGTAGTTTTCGATAAAATCAGAACTGTCACTACTTCGAGAAGGTAACGTTCTAGGTCCTAAATTGCTTTTCTGAAATTATGGGGCCTATTCGTTTTGAGCTGCACAATTTCTTAGTACATATTGCTTTGAGTGAATTCCAAATCTCAGTTCGGATGGTTAAATCTTGAGAAAAATCTGGAAGTTTTCAAAAAAAAACATTTTCTAAAGCCCTAAATATTTTTCTTTCATAAACGAGGGAAAAATTTTCTGAGCAGAGATAACTAGCACAAACTGTTGTTTTGGTTGAATTCTTTTTATCAGAATTGGAGAAGTGACTCGAGAAAAATCAAGTTTTCAAAAAAAGTTAGCCAATCTTCAAACAAACTACATTTTACCGAGCAAAAAAGCTACTCCAAAAATTAGGACAACGCAGCTAGATCAAAAACTCCACACATCCTAATCGTTTAATTATATTCATAAGAACAGATTTGGCAAGGGAGGTTTTGAGACAACTCAAAAAATTTCCAGAAAAACGAACAAAACCTAAAAAACTTGACGTTCTCTTTGAGCATATTTTCAAAAAGTGGTCAAATATGTCACGTCTTAACTCCATCACTGACTGTTAAAAAATACATGCATAGAAAACACAAAAAGTGAAAAAGTTCTCGCACCTTAACAGTTCAATTCAACCCTTGCTCACAGATTTTTCAGTGTATTTTCAACAAATTTTTTGAAAATTGTTCAAAGTTTCGAAAAAGATTGTTCATGAGCAAAAACTAAATTTCTACAAACAAAATTGCTAATTCAAATAAATTTGCTGCGGTGTTTTCTTTCGATTCAAAACTTAATCTCTGAAGTGACAAATAATTTTTTTGAGAAAAATCAAAAGTTTTCAAAATTGCTCAAAACTTCGAAATTAGACAATTTATATTTCTGTAAGTTTTTCCTACACAAAAAGCCTAGCAGGTTAAGCAGGAAAAATTTAATGACATTTTTCTTTTCGAAGTTTTTGATGATTTTAGATTAGATAGGTTGGTTGTTGAGAAATTGAAAAAAGCCAAAAAGTGCGTCAAAAATTCCCTCAAATGCAAGCTTTGGAACGCCGTGTTGTTCGGTAAAAAGAGACTAGCTAAATAAACGGCACACAGAGAAGTAGATGGTCTGTGTATCGGTCTTTTAACTAGTTTTGTGGGAATAGTGAGGCCACCAAAAGTGGCACCAACATTTGCGACTTGGTTTAAAAAAGTGGACTTCGTATTAAGACACTACGCTCCAATTGAGTAATCAATCAACGTATAACCGTATATCAAATTTATCATTAACTGCAAATATCGCTTATCTTAGGCAATGAGACGATATCAATGCCAACATCCTGAACCGCATTTTTGCGAGCACGTTTTCTAGAAAAACAATACGTCCAAAAAAGGAATCAAAAATCCAAAAAATGCACCAAAAATTCCCCGCAATGCCAGTTTTGGAAAGCCGTGTGATTCGGTAAAACGAGATCAGCAAAATATACGACACACAGGGGAGTTGACAATCTTTCCTTTGGTCTTTCAACCAGTTTTGTGAAAATAAGGTTGCCACTAAAAGTGGCACCATTATTTGCGACTTGTGTTAGAAAATGGACTTCGTGTTAAGACACGGCTTCCAGAGAGAAGAATGAAATTAATCAAAAAATGGCGACCAATGTAAGCTCATAAACTCCTTCGAACGTTTTGAGCGAAGAAATGTAAAGAATATATGGTTTGGTCAGGTTGGGATTGATTCAGAAGTGATGACATTTGAGAGGTCACTCACGGCTTTGGAGCAAATTTTAAGTACTGTGTGACGGCTTTGACGGAATGAGGCTTGCTATTTATGATGACGGATTGAGCCTTTCAATTAAAGATGACGGATCGAGCCTTTCAATTAAAGATGACGGATCGAGGTTTCGCCATTTATGATGACGAAACGAGGTGAGCTATTTGTGTTTCGACATAAAAATTTCGACACATGTCAGAGTTCGCCGAGAATCACTGGTTGAGAAGGCCGTGTAGTCAAACTGAGAGTCGAAGCATTCTCCTTCAATTTTCGCGCAATTGCAGTATTCTTAGTTAACAGATACACCCGAGATGCACAGAACGAGTTTACGCATGTAAAAAAGATTCAGGTGGGTACAAGCTATGGGTTCCCTTTTAAGAAAGAGAAAGGTTGATTGCCAATAACATGTTCAAAAACAATCTGCGCACTTTGTTTATTTGTGTCAATTCACTTTTTTTTAATAATTGGCGGGGTTCGCAAGTAATAATTATGCGAGTTGAAAAAAAAACACCATGTTCAACTGTAATACTTGTGCTGAATGCAACCTTGGAGCTGAACAAAAAGTGGTTTCAATCGCTTATTCTCTTGTTAGTTTGTATCCTCAACTCAAATTATCTTTTAGTTTTTACAACGATTTTTGTTCCCCATATCAGATCAACCAGCTGATTTGTAGATATCTGCACCTCACTGTCAACATTTCCATCTGCTTGAGGATGTGCAGAAAAAAAGAAATAAAACATATGTAATCATGAAATAGCTTGAGACATTCTCTGATATCGCTAGTTTTTGGCTTTTGTTTGAGATAAGATGAAAGTAGCAAATTACTACTATGAATGATATCTTTTAGGTAAAAACAAACAACCATAACTGAGTAGCCCCAGTTTTTATGTATTTTTTGTTGTGCTCAGATTCTAAAAATTCAACATAGAAATAAAAACGGCTTTTTTCAAGCTATCTTCGCTTTTGATTCCAAGTGTGTAAAATGAGGTACTTGAAATATGAAATTGAAACAAATAAAATGGGAGTGATCAAGTTTGAATAGTTTCTCTGAGTGGATCCTTTTTTTGCCTTTTTGAATCGGTTCCACGGAAACTGACCCGAAAACTGAAGCGAAAACTGACCCGTCCCTTACAGTTAGAATTAATTGCCCCGACCCAAGGGTTTGATTAATTGTCCCGACACAACATAACAAGCAATCCAGCCGCATTTTTCAATTTGCCACTTAATTACGATCAAGTGCATTCCCCATACTATTTAAATTATTGTCACCTTGTACAAATTTTCGCCGCGTGCGAAATAATACCTTTTCAAAAAAAGGCCGAATAGTCGCTTTCGATGAGTTTTTGGTCGCCGCACGCGTATTACCGCAAGACATAAGTTTTTAGTAATGATTGCAAAATTAATGCAGAAACGAAGCGGTCCTTCGCATCACATGCAAACCGAAAACCAATCGCACATGCAAACTGAAAACCAATCGACATTTGGAAACCAGAGTATCGACAATTGAAGAAAATATACAAAAAAATCCTATTTAGAAAGATTTATACTTTTATTAATTTCAAGAGGACAAGCTGTCAGAATTTTCTTTGTCAGTTTTGATCACTTTTGAAAAGATTCGCCGCAATTCA